TGGAACGCCTGTGGATCACAATGGCTCGAGCCTCCAGGGCACAGAGTTTCTCACAGTTTTTCAATGAAAACGAAACAACAACATGTCAATGTTTTATAAGACCAACTTACATATAAAGTTTCAAACATCAATTGCTGGCTGCATGACCCTAGGCATATTAATCCACCACCCTCTGCCTCTTTATCCTCATCTCTAAGACAGGAGTAGGATTCCTGGATGGTGCAAAGAGTTTGTGCTCAACAACTACCAAATACCATAAAGGTTGGTGGCATGAACTCACCAATGGCCGGGGGGGGGGGCAGGCTGGCAAGGTAGCTGTAAAGATTTCAAGCAAGAGAATGCAATGGACAGTTCTACTGACTCCATGGGGTCACCATGAGTCAGAACCCACTACCAGCTTTGGCTTTTTGGTTAAGATGGAAGCAGGGTTAGAACTAACTTCTATTATGAAAAGAAACAATAAAATGCAGGTTTTTGTTATAAATATACACATCTATGTGTGTGTGTGTGTATATATATGTATATATATATATATATGTATCGGTTGCTCAATAATACTAATATATATATCTACACACACACATTTATCTACACAGACACACACATATATCTACACAAACACCTATCTACACACATGTATCTCAGTGAGGTGGAGTCAGAAATGGCTCATAACTGACTCCATCGGGTTTCTGAGGCTGTAAATCGAGTGGGAGAAGATTGTCTCTCTTTCTCCTCGGAAACGGCTGCTAAAGTAGAAGATTAGATTGCCAGAAAAGCACAGGCTTTGGGTTAGGAGCACAACGTCTAAGGACTTTGTTACCAGCATAACATACAGATATTATACGCAGATACCACAAATGCATGCAAAACTTCAGAATAATAATTAACACCTAGTGTGTTGTTATGCATCTTTGAGTAGGACGTAGGACCTGATGGACAGCTGACCCTTCAGCGAGTATGCAAAGGCTGTAAATTACATGGGAGAAGACTGCCCATCTTTCTCCCCTGGAGCGGCTGGTGGCTTTGGACCACACCTTTGAGTAAGGAGTACAACCTCTCCTGACCATTAAGCCACCATGGCTGGGTTGCTCAATAATACTACTACTGTTAGCTACAGTGCTGCACTTCTGAGAGAGAGCTTTTTAAATAGTAGGGGACCTTGAGAAACAGTTAAAAATGTCTGCACATAATGGAGGAACAAGACTAAGTTGCAAGATTCATGAAGGTAGAATTCACTGCCCAACAGCGAGCAGAGCATGGGGGTTCAGTGTGGCTGCTGCTCCCTTATCCTGAGGAATAGCAGAGGGTCTCAAAACTCAGTTCATTACAGTGGAATCCAAACTGACCGGAGCTGACCCTCCCTCCAGTGCGTTTTCAGGCAACTGTAAACCGCAGAGACGGCCCATCTTTCCGGGAGCTTTGAAATGGCAGAGAAGGATTTTGAGGTTAGCAGGGAACTCCCTAAGGACTAGGCCACCAGAGCTCCTTCAGGGAGATGGTCTGGACGTGATTACTTTCCACCACTCTCCCCTCACTTTGTCCTGATGTTGGCTTGTGTGGGACTGTGATGCTGGAAGCCACAGCCTGAGTATTTAAAATACAAAAAGGGTCACCTATGTTGGTCGAGTTTCAGAGGCGCTTCCAGACATGAATAATAATTAACAGACAAGAAGTCTAAAAAGTATAGAAAGGGCAAAAAAGAAACATCAATGTTGCAAATTACCAGGATGACCTGGTGGCCTAGCGGTCAGAAGCTGTGCTGTAATCCCCGCAGGCACTCACTGGGGAATCAGCTATGGGTCAGTTCTGACTCTATGATACCCAACAAGGAAGAATTTAAGCAGCCAACAGTCAAGAGACCACTTTCCAATCTAGTTTACACACACACACACACACACACACACACACACATTCTCCTTTTCTGTCTCTCTCTCTCTGGGTGAGGCTGATCCCAGCTCCCCACTCTGCTCTCCCTAATCCCTTGTGAGAAACAAGACCAGATACTGAAATAAAGGCTGTGCTCCAGGGTGGAGAGCAGGGATGGTGTTTTACTCGTCCCTCCCCCAGAAGACTCCCAATAACTTCTCAGCCTCTGTAAGCTTGTTCCCTGGTTGGAGCATACGGGTGGGAGAGCTCTGAAGCACTTCTCCACATGCTTACCCCTAAGGTGTGCCAGATGTCTGGATGCAAACTCAGGTAGGAGGAAGTAGGGCCACCTGGAGCCCAAGCCAGTGTGCCCAGACAGTTCAAATTAAATCAGAAAGCCACAACAGAGAAGGGAGAGGCCAAAAGGCAGCACTTAACAGAAGTGCTGGGGCCAGGATTCCTTTGGTAGCATCTCTGATTCTTCTGGATTTCCACCCACCATCCCCCTGGCTTCTAAACCTGTTTAGACAACTGGAAAAGCCTTGAGTAGCTCCGGAGTGAGACTTGATTTTCCAGGGGATCTGGAGGTGAAAGACCCCATCCTCCACAGGAAGTATTTTCCACTAGCCTAGAGAGCTGTGGTAGCTTAGTGGTAAAGAGCTGCACTGCCAAACCAAAGACACGATGTTCAAATCCACTAGTTGGTTCCACAGGAGAAAGATGAGATGTCTCCTTCTCTACCATTTACGGCTGCTGGAGGGTCAGCTCCAACTCCAGGCTATACAACAAGCAGCCCAGAAGAGGAGTGAAGTATTGACATGACTCTACAGCCGTCCGTCTGTCTTCTATACCGTAGGCTTTAGCACCACAATGCATACTGAAAGTGTATTTAACGCTTGGAAAACGTGGGCAAATGAACCTCCACTTTCTTAACAGTAAATGCGGTAGAAATACTGCTGACTTCATAAGAATGTTGAAAAGGGAGCTAACACATTCAGGGCCCTGATATGGTGCCTGACAACCTATTAAACACACAGCACACATTAATGACACTAACCAAGGGAAAGAAAACTTGGGGGATCACTCAAAGAACCATAGTGGGGAGCAGGCATATTTGAGGCACCAATCCATCGGACCAGGCGAATCTGCTACTCAACACAGTCTGGCCAACTCTAGTCTTTCTGTTGCTCAAACCTGTCAAGTTCACTCTCATCTCTTTGATATGATCAGAGATTCCCTCTGCTAGGTACGTGGCTTCCCTCGAACTTGGGCACCTCCTCTTTATTCAGAAGTCTCAGCTGCTTTGTTACCTCCTCGGAGCAGCCTTCTCTGGATTGTATTAGTGTCCCAGCCACTCCCTATCCCACTACTCTGATATCTTTATAAAACACCATCACCCAAAATGTTCATTTTATTGTTCATTTGTTTATCTACTCCTAAATAGTACACAAGCCTGCTGGGAATAACATTTACTTTTAACAAATAATGTACTTGACATATATTTAAAACTAATTCATTGCCAGCGAGCTGATTCCAAGCCAACCTTCCACCAAGTTTGTAGTGACCAGGAGCTGTGCTGCCAACCTGAAGGAATGCAGTTCAATTCCATGAGCTGCTCTGTGGGGGCAAAGTTGGACAATCTCCTCCTGTGTAATTTACTGCTTCTGAAAACCCACTGTAGAGTCAGCTATGGGTCTGTTCTGACTTGACGGTACACAACAACAGTAACAAACCTTCATGAAATGTGGTTGTCTATCTTCCCACATGAAACAGCTAGCGGATTTGAACCATCTACCTTGTGGTTAGCAGTCCAAATCCTAAGGCACTATGCAACCAGAGCTCCTTTGGCAGATAATTGGCAGTCATTAAGTATGACTGTGTGACCACGTGAATGAATAGAATAAACCAAGAACAGAGCGCCGTGAGACATGAACTGAAGTGGGAGGTGTCAGGGGACAATCAGAGGAAGGTTTAGGATTTCTGTGTGTGGATGAAGTCAAGGACACACGGCCAGAAAAGTCAAATGCAAACTACTGCTTAGCAACATCACAGGTAGGCACTCTTGTTCTTAATTTTGCAACTCTGTAAACTCAGTTTCCACCAACTCAAAGTGCTGGAGAACCAACCAAAGGTAACTTGATGTTAGTGATTAATGAGATTCATAGAGATTTTTCTGACTAGAAGCAAGGAATGTTATGTTACAAGGACTGGGATAAGGTACAATGTATCCTTTCTCTATTTTAAACCTTTTAGCTTTGGGTTTAAAAGAGTATTCTGTGCATTTGAGTAAAGGTTTGATGGACCAATGAACATTAATAACCTTGCATACACCATAGAAATGTTTGCCCACTGGACTGACACGTCCTTGAGATCTTCAATCAGGGTTTGTTTTAGACACACAGATGCTAGGTATCTTTAATAGGGCAAATGTTAGAGGGATTTCAAGCAAGAGACCACAGAATCACATTTAATTTTGCAGTTTCACTTGTATAGTTGATTCCCACCTATCAGATTGGTAGATATGTCAGAGAGGAGAAAAGAACCTTCTCAATTAGGGATCGGGGTGGCAGTTAAGGGCTGGACATGGCAACTGTTTGAAGATTATGACATTAGATTAGTAATACAATCAGAGTAGACTGTCGATGGCAGGGGAAAAGTTGTGCAAGT